TTTTTCAGGGACTCGGGTTCTTTCTGTCTTGTAATTGTGTAATCTGCATTGGCATCTGCTTCCAGCCAGGGAAACTAGGAAAGAGAACATGAAAAAGGCACACCTGCTTCTTAAATGCTCTGTCCCCAAAGGGATGCACAACATTGCCACTCACAGTTTATAGGTGAAAACATGTCACATGGCACCACCTAGATGAAGTGGGGCTGGGAAATGTAGCCCTTGGCTGATTCTTGTGACAGCTACTAACTGCAAGAGAGAGAACTTATTTTGAAGGACCACTAGCCATCTCTGCCCACCAGAGGAAGCCGATCAGATCCCCAGAAGCCAGGCCTTAGGGCTGAGAATTAGGACTTAGGCCATTTCTGTTCCTTTCTCCTTAGAAACCAAACCCTTTCTCTTCTCTCTCATGCTTCCTAGGGGTGGAGGTTGCAAGATGAAGGGGTTGGGGGGAGGGACTAAGGTAGAGGAAAAGCAGGATCTAGAAAGGAAAAATATGTTCCTTTAGCCCAGGACATCTATTCCAGGTGCTGGCAGAACGTTGTCTTTATGAACTATGTTTTGCCGGTTGACCTAGATGTCCCCCGATCATGTACAAGTCTTTATGTGAACATATACTTTCATTTCTCTTGAATAAATGCCTAGGAGCAGAATGGCTGGGCCATATGGTAGGTGTGTGTTTAACTTTTTCAGAAACTGCCAAATTGTTTTCCAAAATGCTTGTATCATTTTATATTCCCACCATGTATGAAAGTTCCAGTTGCCCCGTCTCATCACCAACACTTGGTATAGTCTTTCTTTTTAATTTTAGACATTCTAATGGGAATGTTTTAGTATCTCGTTTTGCTTTTAACTTTTATCCCTAATGGCTAATGATGGTGACCATCTTCTCATGTACGTATTTGCTATCCCTATATCGTCTTTGGCTAAGTATCTGTTCAAATATTTTGCCCATTTTAATAATAGAGTTGTTTTCTTATTATTGAATTTTGAGAGCTCTTTATCTAGCTCTTCTAGATACAAGTTCTTTGTCAGATATGTGATTTGTAAATATTTTCTCTCACTCTCTGGCTTGTCTTTTCATTCTCTTAGCAGTATTTTTTGAAAAGCAAGAGTTCTGAACTTTGATGAAGTCCAGTTTGTGAATTTTTTCTTTTATGGGTTGTGCTTTTGATGTATATAAATGCTATATCTAAGAAATCTTTGCCTAACCCAAGGTCACAACGATTTTTCTCCTGCATTTTCTTCTTGAAGTTTTGGAGTTTTATGTTTCACATTTAGGCCTGTGTCCATTTTTAGTTAATTTTTTGTATATAGTGTGATATAGGGATCGAAGTTCTCTCTCTCTCTCTCTTTTATATATGGATATTCATTTGTTACAGAACCATTTGTTACAAAGACTATCCGTTGTCCAGTGAATTGTCTTTGTACCTTTGTTGGAGATCAACTAATCATTACTATGTGCATCTATTTCTGGACTCTCAATTCTTTTCCATTGATTTATGTATCTATCCTTTTGCCAATATCTCACTGTCTTAGTTACTGTATCTCTATAGTAAGTCTTAAAATTAGATAGTGTGAGTACTCCAACTTTGTTATTTTTGTATAAAATTCTTTTGGCTAATCTAGGTCCTTCGTATTGCCATATGAATTTTAGAATCAGCTTGTCAGTTTCTCAACAACAACAAAACTTGCTAGAATTTTCATCGGGATTGTCTTGAATCTACAGACCAATTTAGAGAATATTGAGTCTTCTCACCCATGAGTACCCATTTATTTAGGTCTTTTTAAATTTCTCTCAGGATACTTTGCAGTTTTCAGCGTATGGGTATTGTACAACCTTTGTCATATTTATCTCTAGGAATTTTATATTTTTTGATGCCCTGCCAGTTTTATTTTAATTTGGAAGATAAAAAAGACATATTATTCTCACTGCCTTTGTAACTTTTTTTGCAAATCTAAAATTATTCCAAAATAATTTGCTTGGAGAGAGAGAGAGAACAGACTTGCCCCTGAGCATTGCAGTTGCCCATACCCCTTACCGGAGCCCTGGTGGTGCAGTGGGTAAGAGCTCGGCTGCTAACCAAAAGGTTGGCGGTTCGAATCCACCAGCTGCTCCTTGGGAACCCTATGGGGCAGCTCTATTCTGTCCTATAGGGTCGCTATGAGTCGGAATTGACTCGACGGCAACAGGTTTTTATATCCCTTACCAAGACTGGAGGATTTTCTCCAGTAAATCTTCTCAGATAGGTGAAGGAGCAGAGGTGGTGGCTGGTTGGACTGATGCGAGGTTAGGGATTTGGATTGGGGGATGGGTCTCTTCCTCCTGCCATTTGTAGTACCTCCCAGGAGTCCAGCCTCTGTCCTCTGCTACGAATGCAAATGAAAAACGTCCTTCTCTTTACGGTCTGCAGAGGGTCAACTCAGTCCTTCCTGCCTCCTCTCCCAGTTCCCCTTTGGAGACTCTGTAGGTTAGGCTTTGGAGTCAGGGACAATGATGTGAGCCTGGAGAGATATGCAGGCTGAGGGAGGGGTGGATATTCAGAGAGCTGAGGGGAAGATCCAGTCATTAGAAGTCCTTTTGATGGAGGGCAGACACTGTAACCCTCTACCACAGGTCCCTGGACTCTAGACGAGACTGAAGACAGGGCTGGGAAAGCATGGCTCTAGAGCGCTGGGGTTGCCCATATGAAGGTGGGGGACAGTGAACTGTTGGGTACAGTTCCTCCTCCTCTCTCATCAGCTGTGAATGAAGGACCATCGAGAGAGGCTGCCACAGTCCCTTTGTCCACATTCTGGTACTGTTTCCCTCTGTAGCCTGGGAGCTTCCCAAGGGAAGCTTCTGGCACTCAGGAAGAGGAAAGGGATTATGAGTGGAAAGAAAAGCCTAATGGGCATCATGATGTAGTGGAGAGAGCCATATTCTAGGAGTCAAGAGACCACTTCAAATTCTGACTCTGTCACCACTTCCCTGGTGGCCTCGGGCAAGTCACTTTCACTCTCTATAAAATTGAATGGTTGAACTATATGATCTTAAAGATCCCTTCATGAGAGCAGGGACCATGTTTTATTTCTTTTTGTCTCCCCAGCATAGAGCACAGTGTCTGACACATAATAAGGTTCAGGAAATGGTGTGATTGGTGAATGAATGAATGAATGAATGAATGCTAGAAAAATGAAAGGGCTCAAAGTGAAGCTTAGACAAGGCTGGTGGGTGGCATCACCTCTCTACATAACCACAAGGGGGTGTTGTAGTCTCAGACCAAGGGAAAGACTTTAGATTCGAAATGAACTGAGGTGAAAAAGAAATGGTCTGAGAACCTCATCTTTTAAATGAATAGCAGAACCCTGGCTCAGCTTCTTTTTTTCTCCAAGCCAAGAGAAAATAAGTCCAAAACATTATACAGATATCTTCACTGCTGGGTTGAAGAGCAGACATGGCCCAGAGAGATGGATGACGAGCACAAAGTCACACAGGAGCAATGGGAGTGGGGCTTACCTGACCGTGGTGAGCATTCCCCTTCTGCCGCCCCCCTCTCCTTGTTAAAAAAACCAGCTTGGAACCCTGTCACCTCTGGGTCTCTCCCTGTGAGTTCATCAAACCACCACTGATGTATTATCCTGAAGGGTCCCTTCCTCCCACAGCACTCCAAGGGAACTGAACATCAAACATTGTTTTCATTAGCCAGCCAATGGCAGGAAGGTGTTGAATAGGTGGGAACCCTCGGAAAAGCCTTACCCTCTTACCTACCCACCTTCCACCTCCCCCGCCCCCCCAACCCAGCTTCTTCTGCAATGGGTATGGATGTGGATGTGGAAGGGAGGATCCAATAAGGCACATTTTCCAGTTGGAACTGAGCTCATGGGGAGACAGGATGAGGCGTGGTGAGGGTGTATCTCAGAATCCAGAGCTCTGAAACGAGGCTGGGTTGTAAGGGAGAGTAGGGGTACCACTGATCTCTGGCTCCCAGACTAGAGCAGGAAGGGGTGAAAGGCAGTAGGAGCGATCAAGGTTAGCAGGACCACTTGATCCTCAAGAGCAGGAGCAGAACTGAGGCCATGGCCCAGGTCCACTCAGGTCTTCCCAGACCCAGCGTTCCCAGTGGAGAGGGAACAGGAAGCTGTGATTTCCTTTCCCCTTTCCCTCCCTGCCCTTAGCCTCAAGGTCACTTGCTGCCGAGATTAATTCCAACCTGTGTTGTAGTTGGCACTGTTTCCTGGGCATGGTAAGAGCTGCTCAGCACCCGCTCCCTTCCCCCACAAAACACAAGCGTCTCCTTGAAATAATCATTCATGCAAATAGTGACGTATAAAGTGCTTTTTTCACATGCATTATCTCATTTCATTACACCAATCCTGTGAGGCAGAGACTTTTATCTGAAAATTTTAAGCAAGGAAACTGAAGCTCAGAGGAGTTAAGCAACTAGCCCAAAGTCACGCAGCTAATCTGGAACTCCAGAACCTTTTCTCTCCTCTCAGAGGGACACTCATTCGGATTCTCTATGTGCCCTCCCAGACCTCTTCCCTTAGGCCCCAAGGGAACACTTTCTGCAGAGAGAGGATCTCTGCCTACTGTTAGGAATAGAGGGGGCTCTAGCCTTCTTCCTGCCGTAGAAACTTGGGGTTGCCCTCCATTGTTGGATAACTCTCCCTTCTCCCCTCCCTCTCTGCCACATACAGCCCTTCTTTCACTCACTCACACACACACACACACACACACACACACCACACACACACATATTTATCCCAGAATGCAGGACTTCCCTCGCCCTGCCCCACCCACCACCAATCACGACCAACAGGCAAGGGGCAGGTTGTCTCATCCACACCCCACCCTCTGAGGTGTGGGCGTGGGCTGGGCCCCTTGGCGGGTAGAAGCCCCAAGAGAGGCACTCACATCTAGAGCCTCCTGCTGAGAGCCTGTGGTGGCCCCTGCCAGTCTCCAGGGCTGGCAGGTCCCCCCGGCCCCTCTGCCTGGCACCACCGACCTTTGATGCCCTGCGATGCCCACACCCAACGCCTCTGTTCCCCTGCCCACGCCCTTCTGGGCCAACACCTCTGGAGGCAGCGTGCTGAGTGCTGATGATGCCGCAGTGCCTGTTGATTCCCTAGCCCTGAGGGTCGTGGTTGCCCTGGCCTACGGAGTTGTGGCAGCCATTGGCTTGCTGGGAAATTTGGCTGTACTGTGGGTGCTGGGTGACTGTACTCAGGGGGTGTCTCGCCCACCTTCCGACACCTTCGTCTTCAACTTGGCTGTGGCAGACCTGGGGCTGGCATTCACTCTTCCTTTCTGGGCAGCTGAGTCGGCACTGGACTTCCACTGGCCCTTCGGAGGTGCCCTCTGCAAGGTGGTCTTGACGGTCACTGTCCTCAACGTCTACGCCAGCGTATTCCTCATCACGGCACTGAGCGTGGCCCGCTACTGGGTGGTGGCCATGGCGACGGGTCCAGGCACCCATCTCTCGCTCACCTGTGCTCGTGTGGCCACCCTGGCAGCGTGGGTGGTGGCTGCCCTGGCGACGATGCCCACGGCTGTCTTTGGGGCCGAAGGTGAAGTGTGGGGCGTGCGCCTGTGTCTGCTCCGCTTCCCCAGCAGGTACTGGCTGGGGGCCTACCACCTGCAGAGGGTGGTGCTGGCCTTCCTGGTGCCTTTGGGTATCATCACCACCAGCTACCTCCTGCTGTTGGCCTTCCTGCGGCAGCGGCAGCGGCAGCAACAGAGGCAACAGAGGGACAGCAGGGTTGTGGCCCGTTCTGTCCGCATCTTGGTGGCCTCCTTCTTCCTCTGCTGGTTCCCCAACCATGTGGTCACTCTCTGGGGTGTCCTGGTGAAGTTTGACCTGCTGCCTGGGGACAGCACTTTCTACACCCTCCATACCTACGTCTTCCCTGTCACCACCTGCCTGGCACACATCAACAGCTGCCTCAACCCCGTGCTGTACTGTCTCCTAAGGCAGAAGCCCCGGCGGGCCCTGGTGGACATCTTCAGGAATCTGCGAGCGAAGCCATGGCCCCAGGGCCAGGGCTGGGTGGAGCAGGTGGCTCTAAAGGAGGTAGGCAGGCGGTGGGCAGTGGGCAGTCCCCAGGAGAGTGAGTCTTTTACCATACTCACCAACCTGGACAAGGGGATACTTGAGGGCAGGGGTCCAAGCTGAACACCCTCCTCTCACTGAGGCCTGTCAGGTGCAGGATCCAGGCAGCCTAGGGAGAGAGAGGCTGGCCCCTTTGCCAGGCTGTGGTGCCTGCAGGGAAAGGCTGATGATCTTTGATCCCCAATCTCTGGATGCGGTGGAAGGGGGAGGCCAAGGCCCAAGTCAGGGCTGGGCCAGACAAAGCTTGTCTCCACTTGGAAGTGGGGGAGAAGAGGACCTGAGAATAAATGTCTGGCTTGTCCACAGATTTTGTCTTGACTTTTTATCCCCCTTCCCCTTCCAGTTCAGTGTGAGATAAAAGGATTCCTGGCCCCATTTCTTCCTCCTGTAAGAACTGCCAGGAAATTTTCCCAAGGGTTCTAGGCTAATGAATCAGAAGTCAGGGCCCATCTCCCTCTTTTCTCCCCACCCCCACTTTCACCTCAAAATGGAGTGTGCCCTTGTCCTTCTCTAGTGCCAAGGCCAAAATGCTCCCCATCTCTGGCCATCCCGACCTCTTAACATCTCAGTGGTGTCCACAGAAACTTGGTGTCTGCAGAGGCCTCAGCTGCAAAAAAGCTGTAGTTCCCCTGCAGGGAGAGAGCAGGTGGGGGGTTTGACTGGATTCCTGACACCTGGCTGGCCCTGAGTGTTGGCTGGGAGCACTGTGTGTCTCCCCTTAAATCAGCATTTGAGGGAGAGGTGAAGGTAAAGATAAGTCAAGGATATGAGTGGGATATAGACTTGCGGAAAGGGGTTGGGAGAAAGGCTGAAGGTAGCACCAGTAAAGTGGAAATCACAGACGTTGGTAGTCTTCTTCCTCCCTACACCAAGTGCACAGCTGAGAGGAGTAGAAACTCAGGTGGCAGAACATCTGGATTCAAATCCAGCTGAGGGACCTTGGGCAAGTTACTTTATCCCTCTGTGCCTCAGTTTTCTTGTCTGTCAAATGGACTGTTGTGCAGATTAAACTGCCTGAAATATAGTGTTATGTTTTATTCTTACTAAAAACCAAAACTTATTGCCATAGAGTCGACTCAGACTCACAGCGACCCCATGTATTAAAACTGTTCCGTAGGATTTCCTTGGATACAATCTTTATGGAAGCAGATTGCCAGGTTTTTCTTCTGTGGCACCTCAGGGTGGGTTCTAACCGTGAACCTTTAGAAGTTGAGCACAAATCATTTGTGCCACCCAGGGACCTTATTTTTACACCCCTTGTAGAGAAGGAAAAGGAGGAAATAAAGGGGACAGCTGCGAGCTAGAGGCAGGGGATCTACGTAGATCTCTTCTGGAATGGTTTTTACCTGCTCGGGAGTGAGACAAAAGTCTTACATAAAGAACTGAGTGATTGGCCTCTCAAACTCCACTTGGAGGTATACTCTCCAGAGGAGGGGGCTCCCCTTTGGTTTCTATATCTGTAGAGACCCAGCAATGATAAAGGTTAGACATGCGAAGGGTCTTCTGGGGGACAGCCCCTGGAAAGGGGAGGGGAGCTGGCAGAAGGGTCGGAGCGCCCCCTTCTATTGCTCCCGTGGACTAAGCTCTCTGGTGTGTCTGTAACCCAGGACTCTGGCCACTCAAGATCCCAGGGCAGCAGATGGATTCTGCTGAACATCAGAGGCTTGGAACAGCTACTCAATTCAAAACATATTAAGCAAAGTTAAAGAGATTTAATTAGCCTCTGGATGTTTAATTTCCTCTTTTTGATGATGTTTAAACTGGTTCCAAAACTCCAGGTCTGTTCCCAGCAAATTACAGGAAGATGGAAAATTCTAAGTACCTTCTTCCCACCCCCACCCCCCTGCAGCTCTTCTGCCGGCCTGGCTAGGATACGGATATTGGCTCCTCTGGGGGCATCTCTGCTTTATGGGACCCAGAGGTAAATATTGACGAGTTTAAAGTCAGAGATGAATGAATGCTCGAAGACCTACCCTTAAGGGGGTTGGTACAGAAAGGGTGTGAGCACTGGAAGGCTGGTCACGGCGGGCTAGGACACAGGCCATTCGCGCCGGTGCGTCTCTATACGGAAAGGCCATGTTGTAGGGAGAAGGCTGCGCCCTGGCTCCTTGGGGCACAAAGCCAGCGCTCTGAAAACTGCAGCAGGAGGGAATAAGGGACAGAATGACGGAAGACGTGAGGGAGAGCCTTGTCTCAGGAACAGCCACATCAGACAAATGCTTTGACATTCTGTTTTGGGGCCAAGGATGAGGCAGTTTTGGTAAAAAGGTGGCAGGCGAGACGGTGCTGCTGGGGCTAAAGCCGTGTTGCCCTCTAGTGAGCTACAGGCTTCTGCACGCTGGGGTCTGGGTCTTCTAGTTTCCCTGACGGGCACCCCTCACTGGATCCATGTGAGAATGTCAGGGCAGCCTGGACTCCTTTTCCTGGCGGTTGGTGTTGCTATGAAACCCTCCGCCTTTCACTCAGACCGCTCTTCCTCCCTCCCCTCCACCTTCCACTCTGGGTCCCAGCTGCTGAGCCCTGCATCAGTGTGCATGGGGAACTTGGAGCCCTGGTATCTTTAGGGAGAGTGGGTGACAAGAGGAAGTGGAGGGCTGAAACTAGAAGGCCCGGCCCTTCCCGGATGGCTTATCCAGGCTGCCCTGTCTATCAAACGAGAACAATTCCCACCCCACAGGATACCTGTAGGGGATGAACAAGTACCATGTAAAGGGCAGATGCTGGTGGGTGAGTTACAGGAGTGGAGGGTTCTGGCTGCCCCCCCCCCCCCCGATAAGCCAACGCCCCATGCAATAATTCCTCTTTCTAGCTGACGTCTTGCTAAGGGCCTGCATGCCATTCTTACCATCTAAGCCCACGGGCTCCGAGGGGCCTATGTGCATATGCGTGCCAGCGCTTATCCTCTTCCCTCCCCTCCCCCACAGCTCCAGCGCAGGGCATCGATCCAGAGCAGGAAATAAACCTAACCCCAAATAAGAACTGAAAACCACCTCATCTCTCACTACCTCTGAGAGAGACAAAACAAATGAGCAGCTCCTCTGAGGGGATGGGTCTGAGAGGTCACCCCAGGGCTCTGACGCCCCGGAGAACAAGGGAGGGTGGGGGCTGAGCCTGGAAATGAACACTGGGGAGAAGTCCCCAGCAACTGGGCCAAAACGGACGGAAGGGGCAACAGCTGCTGTGGGTTTGAGCACAGCAGGCAAATGAGATGGAAACAGGGTTTCTAATACCGGAACTGCCATTTTAGGCATTGGGACCCGACCGCCCTTTATTTTTATCCTTGTATTTGTGACTGTGCCGTATCTCAAGCCAAGAGGTTTGCCCCCGCTTCCTTCGCTGATGCCCCTCTCTGCCGTGAGGCAGACCCTGCCCTTTCAGGCGGGAGAGAAGAGCCCCTGTCGGAAGAAGCAAGAACCGAGGTCCCTGCCTGGCTTTCCCCCCTCATCTCCCCTCAGCGCACACACATCAAGAGACGGCACCTCATGGAGTTCCAGGTCTTTAATTTTCTCTGCTTGATCTTTTTTTTTTTTTTTTTTTTTTCCTTTTTCTTCTTTCTTTTTGTACAATCAAATTGGCAGAAAAATGGCTGGGGCTGGTGAGCACTGGGGGTCTGTTGAAAAATCCCCCAAATTCACACTGAGGTTTCAGGTCATGGTTGCTGAGGTGACCGGTGAGGTTAGGGATCGTAGAGATTTCCCAACCCCCTCAGAGCGTCTTTTTCCAAATGACTGGGGAAGAGGTCGAACAGGCCCCCCATTACTGTAAATTAGAGTAGAAGACACTGTCCCCCTACTCCTCAAATTCTTCAGATGTGGACACAGAAGGCCGTGATCTCTAATTGCCTACAATCTTCTCTTAAAAATATAAAACACGTGCAGTTGGCTTTGGTACAAAAAAGAAAACAAAACAAAACAAAACATTCTGGTCCCTGTGGGGTTTTTTCCTTATCCCCCCAACAAACCATTATATAAGGCTGCCCCAACCTCTAGTCCATCAACTCTAGGAAGCCAGGTTATCCCCTTGGGGTTTCCATGGAAGATGGAGAGGAGAACAGCAGTGAGAGGCTGATGGGAGAGGGGGAGGCACCTGGCCCGGCCCACAGCCCTTCCTAAAGAGGCAGTTAAGAGTCCTGTGGCTGCAGCCTCCCCTCAGAGACAGGTGTTGTCAGGGGAGGGATGTCAGGGCTAGAACCCAGCAGCTGCACGGTTAAGCCCAAATATACCCCAGTAGTGTTAAAGGACAAGGCCTCCTGATCCCTATGGCTTGGTTCCCATGTCCCTGGTCCTTTAAATCTCCCCTCTCCCCCCATAACTAATAATAAATAAATAAATTTTCCTAAAGTAGGGGAAGAAGGCATGAAAAACTGGCATCTGTGGTGTTGCTTCTGGATGCCACCAGGGGGCATTGTGGCCAAACTCCCCCAGCTTCCTAAATGGCCCCAGGTATCCAAGGATCCCAAGAGCTGGCAAGGATAATCAGCAGTTCTTTCAAATGCTCCCTCACCGTTGGCAGATTGGCGTTCCCAAGGTTTGCCCCCTTCAGTAATGTTCTTCACAGGGGCCCAGGACAGGAGGAGGGGCCCCCTTAACTCTCTGAAGCTATAGACTCCCCATCGCGGCTCTCCGTCTCCTCTGGGATGTCCTGCATTCGGGTGAAGTCTGAAGGGGGACAGAGCAAAGCCAGTGAGTGAGCAGAGGCTCCCATGAGGAACTGCCACCCTATGCCAATGTCCCCCATCTGCGGGCTGGGGAGCCTCAGAGCTGCAGAGGGATGGCAAAGGGTCTGTGACTACAGGAAAAACCTGTCACAATGCAAGCAATGTACCCACACCTAGGTACTTTGTACACTTCATAAGTACACAAAGATACAATCTGATTAAACCAAAACCAAACTCGCTGCCATGGTGTCGATTCCAACTCAGAGCGACCCTAGAGGACAGAGTTGAACTGCCCCATAGGGTTACCAAGGAGCAGCTGGTGGATTCGAACTGCCGATCTTTTAGTTAGCATCTGAGCTCTTTACCACGGCGCCACCGGGGCTCCATAATCTGATTAGTAAAATACACACTATTTTAAGATTATTAGAGAAAGTCATAGTAACTTTTGGTTATTCTGTATTTCCTAAATCAACTAAGAACTTGGAGCTCCGTCTTTGAAATTTTTTTGACTTGGAAAATGGATTTCTGCTCGAAAAGGTTGGGAATCACCAACTTACTGGAGAAGGGGAGGCCCCTGCACTTTGCTTCTAGAGTTCCACCACCAATCAATCATCAGACAAAACAGGAAGTCCTCGCCGTGCCCCTCTCTAGAGTTACTGCAGACCTCAGTGGGCAACAAGGGCCTATCCTAAATGTCCCATGCTCCAGGATGCAGAGGGCCTGTCCCCAGGTTACACGCCACCTCTATTCCATCTCGCCACCAAGGCCTCACCTCGTGGACTGTGGGGTGGCGACAGGCGGCTGCTACCTTCCTCCTCGCTGCCAGTGTCTGGGTCACTGCTGTCTTGCAGCCGCTCCTCAGGACTGCCCAGCTCCGGCCTCTCTCGGTCCTCAAAGGGCCGATGGATGGAGCGAATAGTCACAGGCAGATCGAGGCGGTCGTGGCCTCGGCTGAGCTGCGGACAGGGGGCAGGAGAAGCAGCAGGCCAGGGAATGAGCAGGGTGAAGACTGCTCAGCTGGACGCAGTGGGCCGTCCTGGCCCCCAAGACTGCTTCTTCCATGGGGCTCACCGAACACCCTCACTTTGGATCCACCACCAACTGATCTGGTTCAGAGCTACCACCCAATTTTCCTTCAGCACTCGCCCCTGGCCCCATCTAAATTTCTCTTCAGGTCTCCAACTAATATCCTTCAACTCTGTTGCCGCATTTCATGTGGGCTCAGATCCCCAATGGTCCGATTTACTCTTGTTCTCTCATGGACTTTTACGTCCACCCCAGGTTAGTTCACTATTCCAGGTTTCCTTACCTGTGGGGGCGTGAAGCTCAAGTACAGGGCATCGCCAGCAGGGAGGCTCCGCCGCCGAGGATCCAGAGCCCTGCGGGCCCAGGGGGCCTCAGCCGGGAGCGGTTCGGTCTGGCCCAGGGCGGCCAGCTGCCTGCGGGCCTCTTCAGCCTCCCGCTCCAGCAGAGCCCGGGCCTGCTCGCTCTCCCGGAGCTGGGTCTCCAGGCTGCAGGCCTCGGTGGCCCGCTCCTCGCCCAGCCGCCGGCAGCGCCGCAGCTCCTCCTGCAGCAGCACATGCTGCCGCTGCAGTAATGCCAGTTCCGTGGCCTGCTTTTCAGGAGCCACAGGGGCAGACCCGGCCCTGCCAGCCTCCCCGTCCCGAGAGTTGGCTCTGGAGAGCTTCTCCCGCCGCTCCGGGCCCTCAGGGAACCGGGCTTCCATCAAAGTGTCCTGCTGAGCCACAGCCGCCTGGGGGTGCAATGGGGACAAATGGGTGTATTAGACCCCCCTTCTTTCCTTGTAAGGAGCCCTAGTGGGGCAGTGGTTAAGCACTCAGCTGCTAACCAAAAGGTCGGTGGTTCGAACCCACCAGCTGCTGCTTGGGAGAAAGATATGGCAGTCTGCTTCCACACAGATTACAGCCTTGGAGACCCTATGGGGCAGTTCTACCCTGTCCTATGGGGTCGCTGTGAGTCATAAGCAACTCAACAGCAATGGGTTTGGTTTTTTTTGGTTCTCCTCACCTTTACCTCCAGGCCAAGGCCCGTCAGCTGGGGCTGGGGGAATGCTCAGAAAGGCCTATGAGGATGGCTCTGCCCCTCCGAAATGGGCATCTCTGGCCGGGCCCCTCCTCCTTCCCCATCTAGCCCTTGGCCCATGGCAGCCTCCCCATCACTGACCTGTAGGCCATGCAGAAGTCCATAGAGACTGACCAATCGCTGTAACACCTCCTGAGGACAGAGGAGAAGATGGGAAGAGGGCCCAAGCTTCAAGACGACAGAACTGCCCAGAAGTTGAACAGGTGTGGGTGTGGGGACAACAGGACTCCAGATACTTTGAGGTGTAGACTTGTCCCCACACCACTCCAAAGTGGGCCCCACTTCTTAGGCTGAGCATACCCTCCCTCCGACCTCCTATATCATCAGATTCCCATCTCACCTCCTGGGGAGATTTCAGCTGATTTCCATTTCGATCCTGCAGAAACAGGCAAGGACAGGGTGTCAGCAAGCACACAAGGGCCCGATACCTGCCCTCGCAGCTCTGTGCTGAGGGTCTGTAGGCCAGTGGTCTCTGTCCCACTTTCCGGCCCTCTAGCCAAGTCCTGGAACCTTCTGAGGACCCACCTTCTGGCTAGAATCTGAGTCCGCTCTGCAGAGCTCAATGGAGCCATTGAAGGTTCTGGCCTCACCATCTGTGGAGCAGGAGAAAAGGACAGGCCGAGCTCACTTCTCCAGGGCCTGCCACCACTCAGTCCCTGGTACCAGTCCATTCTCTTCACCCCTCCCACCCGCTCCCTTGGTCCCCTGCCCTGGGCACTCACTGGCAGTGACCCCAGGGCTCGTGTTACCACTGCTGTCTGGTTCCCCGGACAGGGCTGGTTCCCGGGGTGTCGAGAGCAGCTCTACTCCGGGCCCCACCAGCAGATCTTTCAGGCCCTCCACTGATGGGAAAAAGGAAGAGGTGGGGAGTGGGAAGGGATGCCCTTCCCCCAACACACACAGATATTCAAGCATCCAGGGGACCGCCCCCGCCCATGGCGTGGGGTCTCACCCACACAACCACGAGATACAGGTAGGTCATTAAAGGTACGTAAGGGACATCAGGAGCGCATCAAACAGTAGCAAAACCCATGCCTCTTCCCTTGCCATCCCCAGCACCTGGCTGAGTATCTGGCACAGAGCAGGTACTTGAGGGTGTTTATGGACTATGGGGTCCACATGTCCGCACTCTAGGACGGTCAGGGGATGGCCTGGACTCTCCCGGGAGCTCCCTCACCCTCACGGATGGCATCCTGCAGCAGTCGCTCTCCACGAGGGGACTCAAGTGACTCGGAGCGGAAGAGGACCCTGGGCAGGGTGGGCAGGGGCACCCCACTGCTGCCCTCCTCTTCGGCCTGGATATGGGTCATCTGGGTAAACAGCTGGACCTTCTCCTGCAGCAGCTCCACCAGGGCCCGGTCCTTCTGCTGCAGCTCCACTGGGAATAAGGAATGGATGAGCACATGGGAGCCCAGGGTGGGGCAGAGCGGCGGCATGTAACTTAGGGTTTTTTTTTTTTTTTTTT